AAAAGTATCATATATATATATATATATATATATATATATATATAATGATTCAAGTATACATTAAAAAGTAATTATATATCAATTTGAGAAAGTAATTACGCAATCTGAGTGTAATGCAGTCGTCACTGGGACAAACATTACGCAAAATACATTCTGATCACATGGACTAATTGTCATTAGAGAATGAAGACCGACAAGACTTAAAACAAAAAATTAATTTTCAGTGCTATTAGCTTTTTCAGGGACTGATGCAATCTCGCCAGAGTGCAAAGCACGATTGAGAAGGGTTTTCATTATTTTCAACACATTGGAAGAGTAGACAGCATTAGATTGTCCAAAATTTCAACAGCATAATCTTTGATGTGATGATGAGGGCAGCTATTCCAAGACATGTATTCGTGACCCTAAGAAGGCTGCGTAGTTTGTTTAGGAATATTTGAGACGACGATATACTACTGTTTGGTGGGAAATTTTAAAGCACAAGATAAAAGTATGCATTAAATGTAAACTCATATCAAAGAATGTAACGAGCGAGGTACTGATATTAATTGACGTCATATATATATATATATATATTCCGGAAAAAAAATTGTTTGGAATTAGGATAAAATTTGTTATATATTTTATAGATGATTGTTTTGGAGTGATACCTCCGATGGCAGTGTAATTGTTTTGAGATAGAAGTTCAGAGTGGCCATAACTATGTAGAAGGATTATCAATCGTAGGTGATGTTTATGTGAAAAAAACAAAAATTTCCACGCTTAAATCAGAGATAATTTTGGCAAAAAAATAATACGAATGAGATAAGATAATTTTAAGGGTTATACATTATTTTAAAGGCATGTCTAGTTTAGAAGTTTTTACTAATATAATATATAAAAAAATATAATTACGTGAAATTTATAGAATTAGACCCAATTATGTAGTGTAATTGGATACCCAGAATTTGGTCCTGAACTACCGAATTCTGGAAGTTTGATTTTTTATTTTTTCAAATTTTTTTAATATTTTTATATAATTAAATAAATTTTATTATTTAAATTATATTTATATATTTATATTCTATTATGTAAAAATAAATAAAAATAAAAATAATATTTATTTTACATGTTTATTAAAAAAAATTTACATAATTATGATAATAAATAATATTTTTAAAAACTAATTAAAATATTTAAATAATAAGTATATTATTTTAGATAATAATGTTAATGCTTAAAATTTTTATATTTAAAGAATATAAATTATATTTTTAAAAATTAAATAAAAATATTAAATATTATTCTGTTTATTTATTTATTTAAATATGTAATTTTGACTTAATATTTTTAAATATTAGTATGATAAAATAAAATTTTGAATTAAAATTTTATTTTAATTAAATTAGTTTTTTTAAATGACATTACAGCAGGATGATGAAGAAGATTCCCTCCCACTTTCAAATATTCTACCATCACAACCATTACCATTATACAACTCACCTCCACATTTTCTAGACTTTTCCAGTCAAATACAAAAACATGACTCTGAGTTTAGTTATGTACTTGAATGTGAAATGGTAGTGTATCCGCTTGGAACACTATTTGTTGGCCAACGCTTCCTAACAAAAGAACAAGTGCAAGACACTATAAATAGATTTCACATTATCAATCATTGCACTTACGACGTGAAGATGTCAAGCACAATTAGGCTTGTCGTGGAATACGTTCATAACGACTGTTCCTAGAGATGTCGCGTAATATTGCGCACCAAAGAGCAACACTGGAAAATAATGAAGCTTGACGGGTGTCACACATGTGCTTCCCCACTCATTTCATAGGATCATAATAACTTGGGATCACAAATGATTTCTCATGGGATTCGTGAAATGATACAGACTGATCCATCCACACCCATCACAACCATCTTAGCCCACATAAAGTCCACAATGGATTACGCAATCAGCTATAGAAAGGGATGGTCAGGGAAACAACATGCCATTGAAAATATCTTCGAAAATTGAGAGGAGTCATACCATAAGTTACCAAGACAGTTGCTTGCAATGCAACTGTATATTCCGAGCTTCATCTGGAAATTGAGTACACAATCGGCATACAAGGGTGGCTTGCTTGACAAGGGGAATGTGTTCTTCAAGAGGTTGTTTTGGACCTTCAAGCCATGCATTGATAGTTTTACCTTCTGCAAACCAATTGTTCAAGTGGATGGAACATTTTTGTATGACAAATACAAAGGGACTTTATTAGTGGCAGTTGCGCAAGACGGCTGCAATAACATAATTCTCATTACCTTTACTGTGGTAAAAGGTGAAACTAGCGATGCATGGTTCTTTTTTTAAAAAAAACTTAAGGAGGTACGTAACCCCGCAAGAGGGGTTGTACCTCATTTCAAATCACCACGAAGCCATAAGAAGTGCATACATCAGAAATGGAAGTAGTTAGACAGAAAACAATTCTGTCCATGTCTATTGCATTACACACATTGCACAAAACTTCATGCGACGATTCAAAAACGCTGCACTGAAGAAAGATGTCCTCAATACGGGTAATTTTAATTTTTTACATACTTTATATTATCATTAATATTTTATACAATTGCTTAGCTAGTTACATTAATTTTATTTGTAATCTTATTTCCAGCATATGGGATAACTGAACCGAGATTCTTTTACTATTACAACATAGTAAAAGATAATAATCTTGAAGCTGCACAATGGTTGTACAACATCCCAAGGAAAAAATGGACACTGGCATGGGACAATGGACGACGCTGGGGACACATGATAACAAACCTAGCAGAGTCAATCAATTTGATCTTGAAGAAAATCAGAAAACTGCCAATTTGCTCCATGCTCCTAACAACATACACCTGTTGCAATAAGTTCTTCATTGATAGAAGCAGAGAAGTAGATGCAATGATTAATGCTGAACATATGTACTCGGAGGTTGCAACTAAAGCAATTCAAGATGCACAGTCAAAAGCAAACACTCATAGAGTCATCACCTTTGACAGAACAAGCATTAGATTTTTAGTCGAAGAAACGTAACATCCTACAGAAATTTGACCTGTAAGAAGATTTACAGTACAGTTAGATGAAATGTGGTGTGATTGTGGCAAGTTTCAAAAAGTTCACATTCCATGCTCGCATGTACTTGCTTCATGCTTATACACACACCACAACTTTGACATATACGTATCTCCCGTGTATACCTTACAACAAGTTTCTAAGGTATACGAGGGTCAGTTTGGAGAACTCAGACATGAAGACTATTGTCCAATTTACACAGGCCCAACTTTGTGTCCAAATCCAGAACTGAAAAGAACTTCAAATGGTCGACCCAAGTTTAATAGGATAAGGACAGAGATAGACATTAAAGAACAACAAAGTCAGCAAAAAAATTGTTCTTATTGTCACACTCCTGGTCACACAAGGAAGGCATGTCCAAACATTGTTTAAGCTACTACTTCCCGTCATTGATTTATGTTGTCGTTATTACTTTAAAATTTTCTTCATATAATTTTTAATTTTATGAATGTCATTGCAACTTATAAATTTTAGTATTAGTAATTTATATTAAATATATTATTATATATATATATATATATATATATATATATATCTACATAATATTATTTAATAATATTTATTAATATTAATAACATATTTTTTAAATAAATAATTATGTATAAATTTTAATAAAGATTAATATCTCAAATTAAATAAATAACCTTATTATTATTTAATACTTTTATTTATTTTATCAAAATATAAAATTAAATAAATTATTATTGTAATTTTTATCAAATACAAATTTAAAATTAATTCAATTATTATTGTAATTTTTTCAAATAATATTAAATAACTAAAAATATAATTTTAGAATATAATATTAATATCATTTTACAAAAATTAAAATTATATTAAATAATATAATAACAAAAATAAAAAATATTATTTATTATCATAATTATGTAAAAAAATTTAATAAACATGTAAAATAAATATTATTTTTATTTTTATTTATTTTCACATAATAAAATATAAATATATAAATATAATTTAAATAATAAAATTTATTTAATTATATAAAAATATTAAAAAAATTTGAAAAAAATCAAAAATTAAACTTTCAGAATTCGATGGCCAGGGACCGAATTCTAACTACCCAATTACTGCTACACTAATTGAGTCTAATTCTGTAAATTTATTCGGCACCAATATATTCACATAATTATATATTTTTTATATTATATTAGTAAAAACTTCGTCTAGTTTAAATAGAGACCCTATCCCAATAATGTCGTGTAAGCATGGGATTCTACCCAAGCTATGTTAGTTTGATATAAATCATAATGTTAAGGTTAAAGGAACCTTCTTAGATCGAAATAAAATTTAGTCTAGAGATGGTATAAAAATGAACCTTTATCTTAAATCGAGTCTTATATATAATATAATGATCTATAATAGGCTAAGAATATACAAATATTTGGATGAGATGGCCATATAATCTAAGGTAAACGTGTTTATGTTGGGGTTATATAGTCTATTTGTGGTGGTGTACCCGGACCAATGCTAAATTACGAATGTGTTAATTTATTTGCTTTATTTTTTTTATCAATAATTATAATTTTGACTTTTCACTCTAAAAAAAATTCTTGCTTTAGAGTAAAATATTATATATAAATGAGAAAATGGAGTAAATTGTAATAAAACAAAATTAATTATTGAAATTTGTGTATTAGCGAATATCGATTGACATTAAATGTAAAACTTAAACACTTATTATTACTTCAATAAATTTTCATAAAGAACGAGATTAATTAATTTAATTATTAAATTTTATATAATTTAAATATTTATAAATATATTATCTAAAATTTTGAAAAGTAAGAACTACGACTAATCAATGTAAAATTAATTTTATAAATACATTCAATGATGGAAAAGAATTATTAACTCCAATATACAGTGAGGGGTTTCTGAAGGGAAAACGCTGCCTTCCTAATTAAAGAGTACAGAGAAGCAGCACATAAGAAGTGCGAAGGAAAGCCCGGCCATAGCAACTCTGCAAGCACCTCCTTCATCGTCTCCTGGCATTGCTGCAAAAGGGAGAAAATGTAATATTATAATGGACAAAATTAGTAATTGGCTCATATAGGCAACTGCTTAGTTAAGATAGAGTGTAATTCTCTGGGCGCTCTGTAATTTGTACGCACGTAAAGAACTAGCCACATCAAATTAATTGAGTCAATTATTATTTTCCTCTTGGCAACCTGTGTATCATACAAATTTTTACTTATTATAAAAGCTGCATAAAATTACATGTATTTCTTTTTTACAAAAAATAACTTTTTACAAGTAAAAAATTCGGTAGCATAATAAAACTCTCTCTTATGATCAGATAGTTTTAATACATAAATTTAAAATCCGAAAATAATTGCGTATTATAAGTTGAATTTATTAACTATAACAATATTTTAAGATTAGTTTTAGAGGTTATTTATAAATGAAAAAGCTTAATTTTACATGTAATATTAAAAATAAATACTAATATATTAAAAATGGAATAAATGAGGAGTTTTTTTTTTAAACTATCAAGAATAAGAATGAAAGAAAATATCTAAAAGTTATAATATCAAACATTAGTTTAAGTAATGCTTGAAAAAATATTATAAGTTAGTAAGATAAGTTTATTTGCTATTTTTTTTATTTTAACAAGAAAAAATAAGCTATCTACATAAATTATAAATTAAAATAACAAATGAATACTCTAAAAAAATCATTGTCTTAAGATTTTTTTATTGTGTGACAAATTAGTTTTATTTTTTAAAAATAAAATGTGAGTTGACGAGACGCCGTACATACGTAATATAATGTGAACTTGTCCTATTATTTAAATAAATGCAAGTTCAAGTTACATCAATCCTAATATATATAAACTAGTGAAATGTATCACTTATAAGAATATGAATCTTAAAATAGGAGAAACGTTTTAAAAAATAAAATATAAAATTATAAATATTGATTCAAAAATCATAGGTAAGCTGAAAGGAACAAAATGAAAAATAAAAATGTTTTATGAAGGATTTAGTGAAAAAAAAAAACATACAAATATTTTATAGGGCAAACATTTAATCAAAAGCGAGGAAAAAAAAATAATATATATATATATATATATATAGGCTTCTCACCTGGGGGTTGCATCGTTGACGGAGGCAGAGCTGAGACTGAAAAAATGAGAGAAAATACTGTGAAATTCTAGGACCCAAATCAATTTTCAATGGATTCACAGCAAATACACAGAGAAACTGGTGAATTAGTTAAATGTCAGTAGCGCGATTTTATTTATCCCAGAACAATGAAGTAAGAAGTATTTGAAAAATGAAAGATGTCAGAACTTAGTTAGAAAGAAATCTAAAAAGAGTTGGAAATGTAATAAGGTGAGAACAATTGTGAAGGAAGCGAGTGATAAAATAAGAAGATGAAAGACCTTCTTTGCAGGTGGTGGTGATATTGAAGTTGACGCCGCATGAGTGGAGAAGTTGCACAGCCTGAGCGGTAGTGGTACCAAGACCTTCAAGAACACCGGGAGTTAATCCAAGTTCGCAGAAACATGTTTTCTGGGTTGCGTCTATTTCTTTGATTGGATTGCAGCATGTGTCCGGTGGGTTTGTGGAGTTCATATACTCGATGCATGGAGATAGCTCAACAGCACAAGGTGGAACATTTTGCCCATTTGCGAAGCTAATTACAGCGATGCCCATCATTAAGAAGATCAAATCCATCATTAACGGCATTGAAATGCTACACCGATCCATTGACTGTCTTCTGGGTATTGATTTGCTTTGGTGATTAATGATTATGTCCCATCTTCATTCATTAATAGCTCAATTTGCCTCACTGGACATGTAGATATCACTGTTCATATTCACTAATGAAAACACAAGATGCCCACGTCCTCCAATAATTAAAGACAACACCGTCACAAGTTGCAAAATGTTTTTATGAATATTGCTCCACAGTAATTTATAATATAGATTCAGAAGTTAATAAATAAAATGTTTTATTAAAAATATATTAAAATTATTTTTCTTTTAAATTTCTTAATAATGTCCTTAATTAGCATTATTTTTTCAGTTAGAAGTTAGAACTGTCATTAAGATGTTAGTTAAAGATTTAATAAGTAATTTTTTTTTTATTAAAATCATGACAGGAATACATTAACAATTTTTTAATAAAAAATTCTCACTATTAAATCTATAATTTATTTCTTAAAAATATTGGTTAATTTTCTTTTTTTGTTTTGAGTGAAAGCTTAAACATGCCTACTAAATGCATAATTTAATATCTAACGATAAATAAGCGATATCAATAAGTATCCTGAAAATAGTGATTAATAAATAGTTTCCATAAAAAGTTATTTTTAACACAGTCGCTTTCACTTTCTAATATAATTTTGTTATACTTTTAAATCAAAAATTATTTATTAGCTACTAATACTTTAGAGTATTGATTAAAAATACCTTTCTTAAAAGAAAAATAGTACTATTAAGTTAATTCTCTTACGTGGCTGATGGTGCGACATAAAGGGTGGAAAACTCTTACAAATTCTGTAGGTTTAGGGATCGAATCATATCGTGTACAGAAATAAGTACATGAACTTAAATACAAACGGGGTATAAGAATACAATACTAGTATATATTTACCCATATTTACTTATAAATAGTTATTGTTTAAGATATTGTGTAAAGATTAAGAGAGTTGTTATATATTTTTAATTTGAAGGAAAATAAGTTTAATTTTGCTATATATTACCTTCCGATTTTATTAATTAGTGATCGTTTTATTCAATAATGATAAGATTAAGGTTAAAAGTAGTTAATATTTTATGATATTTTCTTATTCTAAATAGTAAATACCCTAAGCATATTGATGAACAAGACTGATTATATAAAATCAAAATTAAAATGAATAAAAATTATAACAAAAGAATCTTATTTAAAATATAAGCATTAAATCACTTTAGTTATGGCTAAAAGTCTAAAACCAAATGAACACCCAAGTCCAGTATCGAAAGGGACAGAATGGTTCTTTGAGACCTTAGACTCTTGAGGAAAGCAATTGCCCACGTCCTCTAATCCTGATATCATGATTCCAAGTTACTAATATTTTGAAGTAGGTCGCAGGCAGCTGTACTAATCATGCTTCAAACTCAATGATTCTATATGGACGAAAACACAAAACAGAAAAGATTCTCTTGTTTGATTCCTAGCTATCCATTACCCATCCCACTTATTACTTACCGAATCTTATTAGACTATAAAAATGGAAGTTGACCTTTAATCACCTTATAAGTGTCAAAACAAGGTTGGCAATATCGAAGCATAAAATGGTTCAAATGAAACGATAAGGGACTAGTTTTGACGTGCGTACCAAATTCTTGGTTTTTCTTCTCTAAAATGCACCAACCAAAACTCGTTCACGAATCCCTGTCGTCTTTGGCCAACTATTGGACAGAATGGACCATATTCTAAATATCCAAGAGGTCAAGGCGGGTAGAAATTAAATTGTTATTTGAAAATACTATATATGTCCTCTAAAGGGGCATCTTTAATTTATTTTTTTGGCTGACTCAACAATCATCCGAGAGAACGTTTCATCACAAGTAAATGAGTAAAGTACAAGAAAATTGAAACTAGCTGAAAGAGCCAGAAAAACAAAAGGATGAAGATGGAAAGGAGTTAAATGATAGGATGCTGCACAAAAATGTCACGACACAGGTTCGTGAAACACCGATTTGTTTTTAAGTTATATAAAGTTCATGTTTAAGATGTTCAATATAATTAAAATGTATGTTTAAATTAATTTTAATTATAAAAATTTATATTGGAATATATACAGCAAGGGAGGAATTAAAAATGAATAATTGTCCGTCACTTTTTCTCCCTTCTATTTGCTCTTAACATGTTATTCGCCAACGAACTTTTTTTTTCAAATGGGCAACAAACTAATCTAATAATTGAGTATGCACACGATCCTTTGAGGCCTGTTAGGAAGCAAATCCCATTAGGCCCGTATAGTATTGCGAGATTATGAATTGACTGAGGGTGGGAAATGTGTTGTTCAAATTGAATGGACCAAGCCCAACCCAATGAAAAAGCTGAATTACTCCGTTACCCTACGCGATATTCCAATTTCCAAGTTTGTAACGGATAATGCAGAAATTGATAGAGAGTTTGTGAAGAGTGGGGGAGGCCTCCCTTGAAGAGTGAAAAAGTTGAATCTCATGGCCACACTCAGCTTTGGCATCGCTACGACAAGCGTGAGAGCCGCGGGCGCAGGTGGTGGTAGAAGAAGAAGCAACTGGAGAATTGGTAGAGCCAGGATTGTGTGTATTGGATGGGTAACTACTAAATAAACTTGACTAATTACTTGTCTTGGAAGTTGGAACTTATTTTGAGAAATTGTTTTGCGAAGGAAGGACCCAGAAGGCGTCCTTGGGCCACCCCAAACCGGGCACCTCGCTAGGATTGAGTTCAAGAGGCGCCTTGAGAGAGACGCAGAGGCCCGCGAAGCCTTCGAGCGTCAAGTCCGTGAAGAGAAGGAGCGTCGTCAAGCCCTTCGACAAGTATTTCTCTCTATCTCAATCCCCCTTTTCCTTATTTATTTGTTGGATTATTCATTCGTATTTTCCTTTTTTTGTTGACTTAGTCCCGTGATGTTCCCGATACTCCTCAAGACCTCATTGAATACTTCCTTGACACCGAAGCTCAAGAGATTGAATTTGAGATTGCGCGAATGAGACCGCGGCACGTATTTTTGAACCTTTGTTTCCTAATTCACTTTAATTTAACTCAACCGCTCACTGTTTTCTCATAATTCACTCTTGTCTTGTGCAGATTGGATGAGGAATTCTTTTCACAACTGAAATTCGAGTTAGGACAGCTTCGATTTGCTGTTACCAAAACACAGGTTCCTAGCCTTGGAATTTGGATACTTATGTTGGTGTTGCACGAACCATGCTCATCTTACAATGATGTTTTCTGCAGGCCACGGAGGACAGATTGATTGAGCTGGAGGCTCTAGAGAAAGCCTTACAAGAAGGAATAGGTTTGTTAGAAATTAGAATCCTTATCCTAAAGAATAAAAATAGAAACACTGTGTGTGTACAACTTGCTCACTAAGAGCTCCTATCTTCTGATACAGAAGCCTATGATAAGATGCAAGTTGAACTCGTAAAAGCCAAGGCAAGCCTAACCAAAATCTTGACATCCAAGGATGTGAAAGCCACTGTATGTCATTCATGTTCATTACTCCTTTTAAGTTTGTTGATTTTATTCAGATTATGCTCCCACTCATAATTTACCTCCGATGCAGTTGCTGGAGATGGTTGAAAAGAATGAGATTAATAGATCTTTGTTGGCACTTCTCGATGAAAACATAGCTAATGCACATAGGGGCAACCAGGTAATAGCATATAGCAATTTGGAATGTGCTTTAATCTGATTAGCAGCACCCATGTCGTGGAACTGTCAATTTTCAGCCAATATATAACTGTTCACTAGTTGACTAGGCTGTAACCAATAATTCAGGACACTTCTTACAACATTTTCGCGCAACAGGACTAGAAAAATAAAAGCTCTGATGGGGCATCAATTTACCTAGGGTTGTAGGAACACGATTTGTTGTTGGATAATGAACCATAACACGGGAACCTGTGGTGTTGAGATTGGTGCTTGCCTTCTGCCTCGTGTCATGACTTATTACATGTTATTTTCCTTGTTGCAGAAACAGGTTGCAGAATACATGGAGAAGCTCCGCGGGGCTGTTCTCAAGTACATTACAGTTTAGTACTTACAATTATAGTATAGTTTTTCCCCCTACTTTACTATTATTGACATTAGTGAAAATTTGTGCTGTCGATAATTGTATCAAATAAACACTAAAAAAATGAGATATTTTGGTTGGCACATCGCTCCACTGTGAAACGAAAATGTTAGTAAAACGAAACGAAAATGCTGTTATAAAACATTATGTATACACGTGTAACAGTATACTATTTGCCAATTAGATTGCCACCATGACATTTCCTTCTGCTCCGTAATTTTCTTCTTCTTTTTCAATTTTTTTTTTGTTATTTTTCCTTTTTAGTCATTTTTTTTTCTTTTTAGTAATCACTGACATTACACATCTTATATATAAATAAATAAGAGCTTATAAAAATTAAAACAATCCTTACCTTATGAGATAACTTTTGAGGATGAATTTATCTTTTCTCTTTTTCTTCTTGGTGTTCTTTTCTTTCTTTTTTGAAATTCTTCTTCTTATTAGTGTTACTTTTCAATTCTCTGTTCTAGGCAATTCTTTTTCTTTTCCTTTTTGGTAACTCTTTTTCTCTTTTTTTTCTTCTTCATACTACTTCATTTTCTGTCTTGCTGATTCTTCATCTTCATTTTAGTAAATCTTTTTTCGTGGTATCTTTTTTTTAATTCTTTTTTTGGTTCTTGGTGTTCCTTTTTTTCTCTTGATAATTCTCTTTCTTCTTAGTATTCTTTTTTCCTCTTCGCAATACTTCTGTTTCCTCCTTTTTGTAATTCTTTTAGTTGAAAATTTGATTTTAAAATCATAATATATATTCTTGTTAAGAATTGTTTAGTTTGATTCTGCGCAACCTTGAAGGATGGATGAACGAAGAGTATTCTGTGTCAATAAAGTGGGCACACTGGCAAATTTTATCGTTAATATGGAATTTAACGCTTAAAAATGGAAACTTGTGTTGCTATTCTCAAAAGTACAGGTTTAGATAAATTAGTAACGAAAGTGATAAATAAACTATTAGTTAACGTTACTAAAAACGAAAATGCTGATATAAAGCATTAAGTATACGTGTAATAGTATTTTATTTGCCAATTAGATTTCCACACTGACATCTCCTCAAGAAGGCATATTATGCTTTTATTTTTAACATTTTAAAATTTCCTGCTGGGTTATAACCTTTATAAAACTCGAGCTAAAACATTGAAAAAATAAAGTACTCCTCTGTTTACATGAAAGAACATATTTGTTCCAAAAAGAACTTATTATATTGCTGTTGGAGCTAGCATACCGAATATTTGCATAGCACAAAGGGTATAGATCTCTAAAGTATGTGCACTTGGTTTAATATCAAAGTTTATATATATATATATATTGTTAAAAGAAATTTTCATTTTGACCACTTATTAACTGTTAAAAATTATTTTATCACTAGCCGGCTAGGAGGATACAAAAAAAAGAAAAGGAGCTGACATATATGTAGGAAATATAAAACACACATGCATCGATTTATATTAGAGCAAGTAAATTTTACACTTCAATTATTGAATAAGTTTTTGCGGGATAATTTAATCCAAATCTACTGTTAAGAGTGGAGTGCACATAATTTAGGACGACCAAAACATATTTCATGGAATAATAAAAAGAAATTGGACATTCCACCCCTTATATAAACAAACGAACCATATAACAGAATACATGATTTGGTAGACATGGCAGGTAAAGTGGGATTCTCTTTACTTCTTCTGATGAACCTTGTCATTCACATGGCTACCACAGCACAATCTTCCATCACCAGACATCCCGATCCTAACCCATCAAACTTCATCAAGTCCTCATGCAGGTCCACGCGCTACCCTGTTTTGTGCGTGCAATCGCTTTTGGGGTACGCAACTTTGATTCGCCGAAGCGATCGACAACTAGCCATGACCGCTTTGTCAGTGAGCATATCCAAGACCCGATCCTCAGCTTCGTTCGTTAGGAAGATGTCCAAAGGAAGGGGCATGAAGCACAGACAGTACATAGCCGTTCAAGACTGCATAGAGAACATAGCTGATAGTGTGGACCGTCTTAAGCAATCTGTGAGGGAGTTAGGGCGAACACGTGAGGCCGCTGGAGATGACTTCACGTGGCACGTGAACAACGTGCAGACATGGGTTAGTGCTGCCCTCACTGACGACAACACGTGTCTTGATGGTTTTTCTGGTTCTGGAATGAATGGAAAGGTGAAGGGTGCCATCATGGACAGGGTTGTCCATGTTGCTCAAGTCACCAGCAATGCACTCGCTTTGGTTAATCGCTTTGCCTCAAGACATAGAACTACCTCTCCTTAAATCTTAGCTTCAGCCAATCGTTTTTGTTCGAATGTTTTTCCTATGTTTGCTGTTGGAATTTGGAAAAGCCCCTCTTCTATACTATGTTTTTATTTGGTCTTTGTTGGTTTCTCTGTAGTTTATGTTGTATACTAAAATCAGCATCTAAGTGCGTCTGTGTCGTTTTTGTGATAGGGGGTTTTGTATATATGGTGCATCTAAGAAGTTCTTATTCTGAAGAATACAATTCCTTTCTGTCTATTTAGGTTACACTAAGTAGTTTAATCTTTTACGATGTTAAATTCTTTTACGTAATATTTATATAACTTGCAATTGGGAGGACCTTGAATTTAAATTGGTGATCATAAACAATAAATAAGGTTATGTCACTAGATAACCCCGAATTGCCAAATTAATCTTCGAGGTCCACTCTAATGTTTGTTGTGATTATGGTTTAATGGTTACCCGTGATATCTTCACATTCTCTTAGAGCCAAACGATGCAGGTTTGCTTGGGAAGTGGAAAATTTTCAATTACGTGGAAATGGAATTAGCGTGTCTATACAAACAGACATTAATCAAAACCCGTTATGATTTGATTTAAGTGCTTTGGTGATTATGGGGTTAGTTAGTTACCAAATGATTTGTTTTTAATATTATTGACCTAATTATTTTCGTTGTATGAATAAAGGACCAACAATATGTCAAACTGTGAAGGCGAAAGAAAAGGATGAGTTTGGAATTCAATTTGTAAAAGTTAAAGCTGCATGAGGCGGATAAGCATGAACTAATCGAGGTGATTATTGTGTTCTAATCGAGCTCAACTTCCTAGAAAACAATAATAAATAAGGTCCACTTGCATGATAGTAATTTGCAAGTAGACGGCGATTGAAACAACCTACCAAGAGTTTATCTAGATTTAAAAAAACAACTTCTAATATTTATAATTTTTAAACTAATCTTAATGAATTCTTCAATAATTCAAATTTATAAAAGTAAGTTTAGTTTTTTTAATAAATTTAATAGTCAAAATTATAATATAAATATAAATTCTCGCGTAATAAAATTTATTTAATAAATGCGTTATTACATTATTTGTATAAAATCTCCTAAACTGAACCGTGATACTGTCGAAGTAAATATTTTACTCTATTTCTTCCAAAAGGAAAAGAAACGACAAAAGAATTGAAAGGAAAGTAAAATATAAGAAACGGAAAACCTTTTAAGAGCCGACATAATATGTCATGAAAGTAGAGGAGATTAAATTTAAACAACAATTATTATATTATAATTCAATTTAATTAAATATTTAGTCTCTACAAAATTTGTATAATTTGTATTCAGTGTATAAAATATTTTATTAGAATAATCTTAGTTTTTCACAAACTATCATTATTAATTTCTCTAATTTACATAGTTCATTGAGAAGTATATGATTGAAACACATTAACCAAAAAGACTAAAAATAATAATTTATAAAAAAAATAAAAATTATATCTTAACAAAATATTTTATAGAGATTAAATTTAAATTGTATAACTTTTGTTAGAACGAAATATTTAATTGAGCTTTTTTATATTTACATTTGTTTATATTTATTTTTTGTTTTTTAATTATATCTCTTGCTTTTTACTTTTATTTGTTATCTTTCTTTCTTTCTTTTAACCTTTTTCTTTTATACTTATTTAGTGGATATGAAATTATTATTTTCCTTTAATTAAAGCTAAAACTGTGTAAAACCACATAGAATAACATCCATTACTTCTCTTTAGTTAGGGGACCCAACATGGCTTTGCCGAACAGCCCTTTTCCTTTCTGGGCGACATTTAGTCAATGAGGATTGACTGGACATACACCGCTCGATCGTTGATTGATATCATACGCATTGAAAAGGATATTCCAAACTTTTAACGAATATATAGAATATATTAACGATACCATATCAAATTGGTATTTGCTACGAGACTTCCTGTGTATGTGAAACGAATGAACCAAACAAATATCAGTGGCACCATCTTTTTGGTAAAAAATAAAAATAAAAATATTGTTATCCCTAACTTCTGGTAAAAAAAAAAAAAAAAAGTTCTACTGAAGTTGTAAATACGTAATAAATATTTTTTAAAATATAATTTTAAAAAATAACCACTACTTTTTAAAACCTTATGAAAGATATATAAATGCATTTCTAATAAAAAATATTTATATGATTATATTTACTCTTTAATAAATGTTCTTAAAATGCTATTTTCATTTAAAAGACCCAAACAAATGTGAGGGCAGCTAAAAAGTGGCATCCCTCGGCTAGGCATACACTATTCCAAAAGCATCCCAAATAGGAACAAACGTCGATCTTTGAATTTAGAACCCCTTAAATTAGTAATTAACTGATATGAAAAGGAAAGACATACAAACTCTAGCAAAACCCACCACAATTTTATATAGGATTGAATAATTTCACTTTTGTGGAAGAACCATTCCCCTCCCCTCCCCCCCAAGCAATCATCCTACACGATAGAGTTTCCAAGTCATGAACATTTTCATTCTCGCAAATAAATGACAACCAGATCTCCAAATTTAAGCGAGACCAAACACGCACTAAAACTACTCTGACAATAATTCATTTCCCACGGATTACGTTATGCCGTATGCATTTCTTCGTTAGAATTTGAAAACTATTTACTGCCTATTTAAACATCAAAAGATTGAACTCAGATTCCTAACCACTCTTAATTGTCAAAGAGAAGGTATCAAGATATTTCAACGTCAGCAGTTGATGTTCTAATCTGCCACACTACATGAGTTTCAACTGGTTGAACTCATTTGCAAAACGATTCAGGTTACAGAAATCATTCCCCACAGCCCAATTCACTGGATCCACTTCCGAAATAGCTGAGAACAGGCGGGTTGGGTCATGTTTGACCCAAAAATTGGGTTCGAATTCTAAAAACTGGAAAACCCTAAACCGCTATATTACACTGGCCACTGGTCGCCCAACGATTCAGGGACATAATCCCAATAATAAAAGACGGATTTCGTAAAAGGACTAAAAAAACATTTAAACATTAGTAATGGTACGCACGCACATGAAGCAAATGCAATGCACCTCACTGAAATTATACGAATTCACTAAAACAAAATGAAAGTAAAACAACTCAAAATTTCCCAACATTTTTCCCAATCAAACCTATTTAAATAACAAAGTCATACTGCAAAATACAATTGTCAATTGCCTTTCAACATGAACAACACCTTCCATCAAATTTATTTCATCTGGACAATTCCAGCACTGATCAGCTTTTGGATCTTGTTCATCACCATTGGATTCTTTGTGTGTTCCTGCGCAGCCTTCGGATTTTCTTGAAAATCAATCAATACCTGCATATACAGTTGTACACACCCAACTACAATAAGTACATCACAATCTTATACACCACCATAATACACAGCAGGATTCAATCAAGAAAGGAACAAACCTGTCTCATAACAGGGTCTTGAAGGATGTTTTGGATCTCTGGATCCTGCATTGCCTTAGCCTGCAAGATTACAAAAGTTAAAAATACAGAATAAATAAACAAGTAAAAATATAATTTTTAACTGCAACGATTTTGACATTAAATACTTCAAAGTATAACATTATGCCATATACCTGTCTCTCCTTCAATTCCTCAGGACTTAAATCTCCTCGGCTAGCCTTGTTAATTTGTTGTATACATCTGATATGGACGTTAGATGATTAGGTACACATTATTGCATTCAAATATAAGAACTGAAACGCACATTGCAGGAATGTAAACCAATATCATACCTTCCCATGCCATCAAGCAACTCCTGGTTGTTAGGGTCATGTTTCAAACCTTCCCTGTATGTTTCCAAAGCTTTGTCATATTCTTTCATGAAAAACTGAACCGCACCTTTCCTAGTATAACCCTTTACAAAGGTTGGATCAAGTTCAATGCACTTCTCTGCATCCTTTAAACCTTCAGGCATTGCCCCCAATTTAGTGTAGCATGCTGCTCTGTTACTATAAGCCTGAAAGCATTGGAGTATTTACACAGATTAAGACCAGCATTTGTCACTAACCACGAGGACTATCACCTCAATTGAACAAGTATTATTACCCTAGGATCTTTGGGATTTCTTCGTATAGATTCTGTGTAATGCTTCACAGCCTCAGGATACTGCTGCTCCTTAAAGAATTCGTTTCCTGCATGTCAACATTTTCAGTGATACATATAGACAAATAAAAAGAGGAAGATAGAATCCAAAAGTTGAAGTAGTTCTTTCAAATGAGAAATGATGCTTGGAGAAAATGATGAACACACAAAGTCAAAACTAGGTCATACCTTTTTCTCTCTCTTCATCAGCCAATTTTGGATCAAAATATTCTTCTTGTTCTAGTTCTTTCTTAGCTTTTTCGGCTTCATTAAGTTTCTTCAAAGTGTCAGGGTTGCGGTGCTCAGTAAGTGCTTTTTGGAAAGTCTCAATGGCAGAATCATAATCCTTTGAGCACTTTGCCATTTTTAGCAAGGCTGTTCCTTTCCTTGTCAAAGCTCTTGCTATCATTTTAAAATCTGATCGCAGTTCTCTTCCTCTTTCAACAGCGTTGTCACAATCTCTTATGCATTCCTCATACTGAAAAAACAAGTCCAGGAACATTTGTCAGAATGCATAATGCAGGGAAGAAGAGTCACTTTGCTTGACTAAAAACATATACTCGCTAGTTATATTGATTTGACTTCCTAGTTTTATGTATCAAATACATGCTATAAAAAGAACCTATTTAAACACTCACTGAGGCACTGGCACAGTTATGACAACCATGGATAAATTTGACTAAATTCCTTGTCCAGCAAACAAGATTCAGCAACAAAACTACTGTAATGTTAATGGCATGTTTAATGTGAAAGTTTATCCTTTGTCTTTCCCTTAAACCCATCATACTAAAAATACAACAACAAAAGCTTTATCTAACTATGAGAGGTTAACTATAAGAATCACACATCATTGGTCGCGGTAAAAAAACCCATTATACTATCCATAGTCTAACAAAAAATTAATGCATCATTAGTCACAAAACACTTGGGCAGTGTTTGACTGTTGAGTACACCAAAATATAACCTTATAGATCTCAAAATCCCAGTGCTCTTGAAACTTTATGGTAAAGTTGTTAAAAGGCTTAATGAACTCAGGCATGTTAGATTCCACATTTTTCTTCAACATCGACGACATTGAACAAAAATAAGTTGGTGGGTTCACATCCTTGACTGGGATATTGAATGAACATGGCTTGACTAGACGGTTTACCCAAAGAGAAAGGGAATATTTGGAAGTGCTTCTATAGAACATATTTTGACTAATCATGTAAGTCCTTCAGCAAGTGTTTGATTAAGCAATTGAAAATGGTTTATGATTTTATCATAAATTTTTTTTTTTTAATTTACTTCAATTAAGTTTTGTGATGAAAATTATCAAGATAAGGATCTAAGTAGGTAGTTGATCCATATTTGCACAAAACTACTCTTATTTGTGGTAGCTCATTCTCCCCAGTTCCCATACAAGTGTCATTAGTTGGGTTAACAATATTTTTGGTCGCTGTTATATTCATTTTAGACTCTATATCTACATCAGCTTTCAATTTATTTCACCGATTTGAGAATATGAATACCAAATTAGTGTCATATATCACAAGGAACTGTATTTTTCAGTATTTTCCAATTTAATCCCTATACATCATGGTAGTTCTATATGCAACAGCAAAAATTGACAAGACAAGATGTTGAAAACAATTAAGTATATAGTCATTCGGGAATCGAATATTGAAATAGTGTTTTGCACAAGTTCTTTTCAGCATATTTGAGGAAGCCTCAGAACAAAGCTCAACAAGATAAACTCATGAGATAATATCAATCTTCACAGTTCCCATACAACAAGCAATAAGTTAAGTTAATATGCATTTTTCTATCATTCTACCTACATTTATTTTAAAATTAGTCCCTATATAAAAAAGCTGGCAAATCAGATATGAGGGTATATAAAACAAATAACACTATAAAACCTGTAATAATTTCCTTAAATGCACTGATATAAATTAAATAAGAGAAATTAAAAAAAAAACAAAAAAAAACCAGAAAAGCATATATACCTTTCCCATTTCCAAGTAAACAGCAGCGCGGTTTGTGAGGAAGGATATATCCTCATCATCCAACTCCAAAGCCTTCGAGTAATGTTGAATTGCGGTGTCAAAATCCTTCTTCTTGTACGCTGCATTGCCCGCCTCCTTTTCCTTCTGAGCCTCAGCTTTCCTCTGCTTGGAGTCCCTCTCCTCCTCCGTCAATTCCATGGGCTCAGGCTTGGGCTCAGGCTCGGGCTCGGGCTCGGGCTGCTTCGGTGGCTCGGCCTCAGCGGCTCTCTTTCTCTCGGAGGGAGAAGGGGACGGCGAATCGGGCATATCAGTGTCATCGTTGGGAGTTCGAATCTTGACGTTAAGCAAAACCCCTATGGCTTGCATGACTCTTTGATCCTTCAAGTGGAGGTTGAGATTGTTAGGATCTCTCTGAATATCCTGCATCATTTTCACGAAATCGGGTTGTTGAAGGTAGGCCCTAGTGGTAGGGTCAGCGGTGAGCCTGGCCCACATCTCAGGCCCAGAGAAAGCGTCGCCAAAGGGATTAACCGAGGAGGAGCGGGGCCTGGAAGCGGCTGCGGCCATGGCCTTTTGAGCATCGGCTAAACCTGACTTGAGGGGTTCATTATTTGGGTCAATTTCGAGACCCTTTTTGTAAGCTGAAACGGCGTCATCGTATTGGGCCAAGCCGAGATGAGCAGCGCCAAGACGGCTATAGCCCTTGGACCAGTCGGGTTTCAGTTCGACGGTCTTTTTGGCATCGGCTAAGGCGTCAGTGTATTTCTGAAGGGAAGCGTATGCTGCGGATCGGTTTGAATAGAGGACGTGGTTGGAGGGGGATAAGGCGATTGCATCTGAGAAGTGGCGGATCGCGGCGTCGAAGTCGCCGGAAGAGAAAGCTGCGTTGCCTTTGGCTTTAGCTTCGTCCGCCATAGAATATGAGATTGGAGAGTGGTTGGGGTTTGGGAGAAGGAAGGGAGAAGGAAAGGCTTATAGGAGGGAGAGAGAGACTAGAGAGTTCTGGGGTACGGGTTCTGGAATGTTCTGCCAGCATCATTCCTTGTTTCGAAACCAGACGAAGGATAAACCCTTTTTTTTTTTTTTCCTGCCCCTACCTTGTGCAATTCTTGTTTTCCTTTTTTCTTTTTTTACACCAAGTTTTTGTAGTTTTTATAATTACTATATTTTAAAGTAAATTAAAATTATTTGAAAAATGTATAATTTACTTACATAAATTTTTTTAAATATGAATAATTGATTTAATAAAAAAAATTAATCATTTGGAATTATAAATAATTAGCATTTGAAAACCAAAAATTAAAGACAACTATTTATAATTAATACAAAATTCAATAAATATTGAATAATAATAAGATTATGTGTTAATATAAAGAGAGATGTCATTGCTTTCATAAGTATAAATTTCATTTTTATATAAAGAATAATTAACTTCTATGTTAGAAAGTTAAAAGAAGATGAGAAAAAAAAGTTTGAGTGAAATTAAATGGATAATTAATTTAAATATGGAATTTAAGTTATATAATTACATTAATGTGAAATTTATGATATAATTATGTAAATTTTATTTTAAAAATTATCTTCATCACTAACAACTTTTTGTAATCATAAGTACAATTTGTCACAAATAGTACAAATGTGCTAGGTAGTGAAAAATTGCTATTGCTGAATTTTGCTTTTCTAATAAAGAATCTTTGCTATAGTAAAATTTTTGTAAGCAATGAAAGGATAAAGTATTGAAGCACCTTGTATAGGAATGTGCAAGATCACCCATAATTTCACATTTCAATGCAAATATACACACAATAAAGATAATAAATGAAAATGATACATGGACAAATGGCCAAATGAGGCATGGACTAAGGTATATTTTAGTGAATGGCCAAAGGTTTATAACATATGTAACAATAACTATGAAGTCTTTAACTCAAAGATTATAAATGTAAGGTCGAAGCCAATATTAATAATGCTGAAAAAAATCAAATATTATATCATGATAACAATTAGTATAAATAGGTTAAAGTTAGCTACTTATAGGTGTCATTTGCCTCCTATACAGCAAAGTAGGCTAGAGAAATTAAAACGACAAAGTATTAAGTGGGCACCAATATGGTCATGTAAACATAATCATATATACAAATCATTTTGAACTCTACAACATGACATTTGTCTAAACTAAACTTGCAATATAGGTGATGATAATACTCATAAATTGGAAGTGCAATATTAGCCAACTAATGTTGTTGTTAACTTGGGAACTCATACTTGCACTTGTAAATTTTGTTAATTGGTGATGATAATGGTCATAAATTTGAAGTGCAATATTCATCAACTAAGGTTGTTGTTAACTTGAGAACTCATACTTGCACTTATAAATTTTGACAATTAACAGGTTTGTTAAATCTATATAATGGCTAATGTGTTAAATATAAATAAATATGCACAATTTATCATGTTTAATATATTTTTTTGGCTGTTTTTATAGGCACGCCTTACATGCATGCTATTGCTGAAATAACATATAAAAATGAGAGACCAGAAGACTATTGTCATTAATGGTTAACAATGGAAGCATGACATGTAACTTATGAATATCATGTTCAACCATTACAAGGCCAAGAATTTTGAGAGAAAAGTTAACATATTTCATCACTACGACCAAATGTTAAGAGAACTATAGGTAGACCTAAGAAGTAAAGGAGAAAAAAATGAACAAGAAAAGGAAACATCTGATAATCCAATAAAACAAACTGAAAAGAAAATTGTCACAATTTAAGTGTTCATGGTGTGGAGGCCTAAACCACAACAAACAGACTTACCCTATACTAAAAAAGTAAAGAATAGAAGACTCTCAAGCCAAAAACAACAACTCAACACAACTGCTCTCCATTGTACTTGCAGAAGAAAGCCCAATACATCAATCTTCCACTTTACCTGTAGAAGAAGACCCAACAGATGTTATAGCAGAAAACTAGCAAGGTAGAATTAGGCCTAAACTAACCATTAGGAAAAGGTCATTTGTTACAAATATTTCCACATCACCTCTGTAAAGTCCACCACCATCTTCACCTAATGAAAAAGGAAATGACTCTGCAAAGACTCAACAATTCATGCCAACACCTAAACTAAAGACTTAACAATGAGTTGTTATGAATATTTTACTTTTTTATTATTTTGGATGTATCAAGGGTGTATTACGTATAAGTTGTTTTATTTGGACAAGTTGTTATATTTTAAGTTCCACCAACTTAATACAGTAAAGTTTTGGGTTTTATTCAATTATTATGTTTTAAGCTATTATATCAGAAAAAACTAAAAATATAAACTAGAAAAGGGTTATAAACAATAACTAAATTATTCTTTATTAATTAAAGCAAAATACATCATTCTCTTACAACAAAGTATATGTCAATACACATCAAAATGCATAACAATTGTACAAAGAACTTTAATTTCCTAATTTCAGCTTCTAAAACATGTAATCTTTGTAGTCAAATTCTTCCTTCATTCTGCATCCACAACTGTTGCACTTGTAAGGAGATAGGTTACTTAAGAGGTTGCTAGATTAGCAACATTAAAACTATCCTCTATACTAGTATTGTTATCAGTCTATGCTAAATAATTACAATACTCACCAACCTACACCATATTTAAAACTATCCTCCACACTAGTATTGTTATCAGTCTATGCTAAATAATCACCAACCTACACCATGTTTAAAACTATCCTCCACACTAGTATTGTTATCAGTCTATGCTAAATAATTACAATACTCACCAACCTACATCATGTATAAGAAGTTATTTAATTTTTCAGAAATGACAATTGAACACAACACTAAAACAACTTTGTTTACCATATATTTAGGACATCTAAAGAATAATCTTCTAAGATTAGCTTCTATTTGTGAGATTTTAACAATTGCTCTCAACCCACAATAGCAAGTCTTGTCATTTTATCTCTTATTTTGTTGTAATGATGACCTTCAAGATGAACTCATAAAAGGGCTTCTATTACTATTAATAGTCATTTAAAGCGTTGAAAACCTAAATAGTAAAAGAAAGGAAGGAACCCTAACAATAGAAGGAAGAAACTGCAATAGTGAAGAGAAAAGTTCTTACAGTGAAAGAAACTAGAGCCACAAAGGTAATAGAAAGGGACTACAATGTTTGGGCAACTGAGGCACATCTTTTTTTATTTCCTAAAATGACGTCGTAGATATCAACTAAGCCATCACACGTGACACTTAACATGACATGTCAATATTCTATTATTATTTAGTAACAGTGTATGAGTTTAGGAACTAAAATGTCTAATGAAGATGAAAATTAAGGACTAATGTGACATTTATAATATTTCAGAGACTAAATGTCCAATGCTAAGTATTTTATTGACCAAAATGAGAGTTTAGTCTCATAAAAAATATTGTAGTTTAAAAATTTGTTCAATATAGTTTCAAATGTAACCATGGATTTAGAGAAGCACATTTTAAAACTAGTACAAGCTAACTATGTAAGAGCTTGTTTGTTTTCTCTTTTTAAATATTATTTTTTATTTTTAAAAATAAAAAACAGAAAAAGATTATTTGTCAATGTAAGTTTAAAAAATAAAATTTGAAAATAATTTTTATTTTCAGTTTTAAAATTGAAAAACATAATTAGTATTTATGTGTTTTTGTTTTTATTTTTCTATTTCTCTTTCTAAAAATAGTAAAAATTTAACTAAAAATAGTTTTAAAAACTAAATTATCAAACAATTTTTTTAAATTTCTTTTTCTAAAAATAGTTTTATAAAACTGCGAGAAGTCCACTTATACAGAATTTTTAAGGTTTTTAAACCCTATAAAAGAGATATTTTAGACATCTTGTTTGACACCATGTACATCTTATTTTTTACTCTCTAATACGCATTTCATCTCGTTTCTCTTATACGGAATCTTAGACATATTTTTGGTGAGACTTGGAGCTTCGAGCGATCGTAGTTGAAGACTGAGAACTCATCTCACACTCTAATTTGCTTTTCTCTATGGCTTTATTTACAATTATTTTAGTTCTTCTCTTTAGCATGAGTAACTAAGTCCATAGGTAGCACTATGAGAATTATTGTTCATGAATTTATGGGATTTTGAAGTTTGAATCTATATTTGGTTTCTGTTCATGATTAGCTTTTATCTTATTATGCATAATTATAATCCTAATTGATTATATTTGTAGGCGATCGTATTTCGATTAGTTAATAGATCTATAGGATAAAACGCGATGAAGGATTAGGTGGACCACACTAATCTTTCTCTTCCAATTGTTATTAAATTACAAGTTCTTAGGTGTTTTATACTTTCTTTAATTGATGTCTTGCATGATTATTCAGAATATTAATTTAAAGAAAATAATATTAGTATTGCATGATCATTTGGTATTAATAGTATTCGTATGAATGATTGGTAATCAAAAGAAAATTAAATTTAGAGTTAAATGGAAAAATAACATAAAAGATTGAATGATAAAATTCATACGCCCTAGATTCCTTTCTTATAAGTTCAACAAAGACTTGTATTATGTTATTTGCTTTTATTCATAATTAATTTTATAATTAAATTTTAGTTCTTAATTTCACATCTTCTTAATTTCATCTAGAACAATTAATATATGTTGATAAGTCTGTAATTAAACCCTATTTTACAGCTCATATATTCATATTTGACCTTTATTTTATTTGAGTTTTACACTAATTTATATATTAATTGTGCATTTTGGTATAAAAAGGCCGCAAGTGGATGTTGGGTGCATTTTGGGCCCAAATTGATGGAAGATTAGAGTTTCGCAGTAGTCTGCATGCCCAGATCCTTTCAACAAGAATGGGGTGCTTCGAGCCCAAACACGGTCGTGCTTAAGGCCTTGCACGGCTATGCTCATCTGCGAGAAACCCTATTATCAAGAGTCTTTAGAGTTTTCAAACCCTATTAAAAATGAGATCTGAGGCATCGTAAAAGGGGACCGTTTTTACATCTTGGTTTTGGCTCTAAAATAGATATGACATCATCTCTCTTGCATGGGATCCTTGGCACATGCTTAGCGATACTTGGAGTTTCAAGCGATCATACTT